TCTATCTTCGTCGAAAACAGTTATATTAACTTTCGAATACTCAATGCACCTGGTGTAATTCTGAGTCTGTCGATTTTTCACCTATTACAGAACCGTCAAGGTTTAGCAAGTTTGTGTGATTCACTTGATATTAAACGCGGTTCTCTCCTTGAATTTACAAATAATGTCAATAAAAAAGACTTATATAAACTATATAACTATTTCATCAAGATTACAGAAATGTTAATAAACTAAAGTCAACAGTTTCATTGTTTATTATTATTACGTAAATGTTAACATTTTCTGTATTGTCATCTTTGACGTTACTGATTGTGATTATTTGGAATGTGTATATTTGAAATCAATTGTCAAATAAGAGTATAAGTCTAATAATAATTTGGAAACTGTTCCAAGTTTCATTAACAAATGTACCACCCCCTGTAACAGGGAAATTACCATTTTTCTGAATAAATGATTGATATTTAGTGATTATCTACGTTCCTTGCAAGGAATGCAGATAATCACTATTTGTTACTATGTTACACTATGTTACTTAAGTTTTTCTTGTTTAAAAATAAACTTTATTGATTTTTTTTTATAATCTTTACCTTTATTATATTTTTAAATTTAAATGCAATTTTTTATATTATTTATATTGCAATAGCGCTGTGATCAGCTAAATATAATTTTTTAATATTTTCACTTTATTTGTATAACTTTAACCTTGTATTATTTAACTTTAATGTTAAATTAGACAAACCATTCATATTAAAATGTACTACAATAATACATATTTTTATTCTTAATTAAGCTCATAAAAATTAATATTGGTAGTTCGAGTGGGAATCTCGTTCTCTATCCTCGTCACCTGTATTAGCCGGTTTCACAATGCAAGATTGAAATATCAAGAAATTATATTTCATTTTTATAATGGTTTAATGTTTAACACGAAAGAAAGACATTATACTTTGTTTCTGTGTAGAAAATTACATATATGAGACGATATTATAGCTTACGCCACTCTTTTAAACACGGTGTATGTGCCTAAATAACGAAATTTTTTCTATTTAATGGATATTTTTTGTAATTTTACATGGTAATTTAGGATTTTAAGTACAGTATACAATTATCATGTGCTATGTGCCGTATGTTTTGGTTTTTAGTACAATATAATATAGTAAAATAGTAGTCTTCCACTCGCCAGTCTGACATTTTCATTAATTTTATTAATTTTTTAAGTGTTTAGACGATATTATTTTAATATGATGTTAAAAAAGACAATTGCTTACAAAATAACGGGCATAGATCAGCACCTTCTATGTTTTGTATTGAAAAAAATCCAGTAACGAGTTGCTTACTTTCCCGGCAACATTTAAAATGTTGGTGGAGCCATCTGTTATCGTATTTTTATTTTAAAATTTTTTATATTTTTAACTATTACAAACTAGCAAAAAGCTTAATTTTGAAGTTAGGGATGGGTTTTATAAAAAATTAACGAATAAAATCTTAATCTAGTCCGACTCCACTCGTAATACGACACACGACTCGCCTCTATCCCTCAACCTCTTTAACCACCAAAATTTAACATCGCCGAACCTCATGATAGACAAACTTCCCTGCAAAATTTCAGAAATTTCTGATAAAAAACACGGGAGTTATTAAGCTTCAAATAGGGTGAACCCCCCACACACACAAACATCCATACATACAGCAAAATCAAATACAGGTTTAAAAATACCATTTATTATTAAATTAATGAATATTTATTACACAGTTTTCTTTTAATTCATTCCAATGTTAATGGGATTGAAAACTGGAAATCATAACAAAATAACTCTTTCTCTTTAGAACTTCCCTTCACTTCAATGTAAAAATCGCCATCTTTAAGAAAAAACGGTAAAGGAACGTTGGGTATTTTAAAAATAGTGTCGAGACCATATTCTCCCTAAAAATAATACAACATTTTTATTGTTATATACATTTAAATTTAATAATTTTAATTATAAACATACCTGAGAAATTGGACATTTACAAGGCAATTTAGCGTTGATAATGGGTGCAGGACATTTTCTAGGAAACAGTGCACAAACATCTGAATAGGAACAACTTCCTACATTCTCCATGCAGGGGATTTTAATCCAAAAGTATGCTATTTTTTTATGAACATTTAAAGAAATCTATAAAAAAAATTCAATAAATTCCTGTGTATCATTAAATATATATGTACTGTATTAGGGGATTAGACAATGCATTATATGGGCCATCTTTCTAGGGGTACTATTGGAAAAAAACCACTATTTAGGTTAGATAAGAAGAGAAAACCAGAGAAACCTTTAGGATCGAACTAGTGTACGGTAGTGTTATTCACTAGGCCATTAGTGGGCAAATAAAGAAGGAATAGTAGTTTTATAATTGAGCATAAACATATATTAAATTATACAGTAATTAAAAACTTTATAAAAATACTAATTTATATACAAAATTATTAAATTTAAATAGAAAATTTTTACTTGTAACGGCGATGATATATTTGTTTTGACAACCACATTAAAGCTAAGTTTTACAGAACCAGGAACAATGGCCGGATCTGAAGAAACATTCAGAGATTTTATTTGAATTATATTAGAAGATGTACATTTATCCCAATAAAATTGAAATGACGGTTTATCATTCTGTAAACAAAGAAACATATAATAATTATTATTTACTAAATATTAACAACAAAGGATTGTATTAAAAACACCTTACTTTTTCGTGGATTTCTCTCCATTGACGATCGAAATTCTGTAGATCAGACATAAATTTATAAAACGATTCAAGTGTTCCATACGTTGAATTAATTCCTTCTATAGGAGTAGAAGGTGTTGCATAGATTGGGCACATTGCAAAAGACAGTAATAAGAAGTTAATTAGTGTCTTCTCCATGTTATACCTTTTCGTTCTGAAGTTGTTTCGTTTATACAGAAAGATACTCGGCACCAACGGTTAAAGAGTGAGGGATTAAAATAAAAAAAGGAAAGTCCTGCCGCTGCCACAGTCTATTCTGCACTTGTTTCAGTTAGAAATGGGCTTATATGTGTTAGGATTTTAGCTTCATACCTTTTCTACGAACTCTTGAGAATGTTATGTTAACGAATAACACGTGTAAACATTTAAATAAAGGAAAATAGAGGTAACATAATACTGAAAACACTTCAACAATTTTATAAATGTGTTTATCATAAATACTTTTCTTATAATCGATTAATAAAATTAATGGTAAATGTGAGGCTCCGGAAGTGGGTCGAAATTCGTGCACAGAAAATGTTTTAATTTCGTATGAAAAAAGAAAATTTAATAATAATAATTATTATTTTATATTGTAAAAAGAAACCATCAAACGCCGAATGAATATTTAATGTCCATATAAAGTCATATCTGTAGAAATTTCTGAGAAAAAACGAATTTCTCAGAAAGAAACAATAGATGAATTTGAGTACTTTGATCGAACATCTTCAATAGGAATCAAATTGTCAGTCGGGGGGGACTCACCCCGCGATCTGGGCTCCGATCCCGTTACAATTCGTAACGAGGAGGAGAGACCAATTAGAGAACGGGGGCAGATCGGCATCGACCTATCAAAATGTTCGATCTGGGACCCAGAAAAAACTTATAAAAACCGCTCAAAAATAGGATGTGACGTTCTTGGTCCTTGGTGCTTGGATGTCTATTTACAGACTCCCCCACTTTGGTCGTGTGTGCAGCACTAGGAAGTTAAGAAAGGATTCTACGTGCCTCAGATAGCAATCATTATACGAGGGAGATGCCGGCGAAGGAAATCCAGAAGAGCTTACCAGGGTCGACGAGTGACCATCAACCCATACGAGGAAGCCTGATATTACGTTGTTGGACTATTATACAATTGTTGCAACTGGGACCCTGACGTTTCAAAGTTTTGTAAGAAACTATTTTTGATGTTATTAAACGAGTAAAAATGGAAAAAAAAACCTGTCTCTGTGAGTTCCTCCGCGCCCACGCGACAGTGCTGACCGCTCGACTGTCGCGACACTTTCTCCCCAATCGGCAAACCTCCACATAAATTTAACAAGAAAGGAATGAATAAACTACAGTTTGCATTGTAAAAAATGAAAAAAAAATTATTATTATTATAATCGATGGATGGTGATAAGTCTAAAACTTATATAATTATTAATCAGCAACGTCTGAATAAGACAAAGAAATGGTATTACAACCGTGTAAACACTTCCTCTCTATATAAAAGCCATCATTATAGATCACAATGCTTTTTACTATTGCTTTAAAATGTATACAACGTCATAATAATTGTTCCCGGATTCTGAAATACGGTCCTTTACAGACACCCGACATCCTTGTGCCCGGTTTTATATACATTCAATACAATCTAATCAGTCAATCCTTATTTAAATTTAAATAAGACCACAAAATAATTTTAGTATACGATTCAAGTAAGGTATTGCTAAAGACATTTTTACTGTATTGTTAAAGTTTCATTGTGACGAGTAACGTTATTGTTTTTCTAACAAACGACATCTGCGGGTTTTAGGTCTAGTGTGGTTTACGGCTATAGAGACCTTCAATTTGGAAATTTAAACTCGTATTTGGTACAAGATGTCTGGAAGAAACAACGTCACAAACAGAAAACCACGAAATTCCATCGCAGATATTCAGAAGAGTAAAAGCCTTCAAGACGATCCTTCTCTTCAGGGAAAGATTTCTCGTAGCCACCATCTAAATTTGGAAGATAAAAGAGATTTAGATAGCAAAATTAGCGAATTTCTCCAAGCTATTCGGCGTAATAACGTGCAGCAAGTACGAAGATCTCTTGAGGAGGGAATAAATGTTAATGCACAAGACACGGCAACGGGAAGATTGCCATTGATCGAAGCGACTAATTTGGGGCAGGTGGAAATCGTCAAGGCTTTATTAACAGCACACGCAGACGTTAATCTCACCAATATTCAGGGTACCACGGCTCTCCACGTATCTGTTAATCCGAAAGTTTTCAATAAAGAAATAGTACAGTTATTTCTGGAACGAAGTAATGCGGATTACAACATACAAGATAAAGTGACCGGAAGCACACCCGTGCACATTTTATGCAAAGTTTGTACGTCTGCGAAGAATATCCCTATGTCTACGTTGCATGGTATATTAAAAGAGATGGTGACGAGATGTGATCTACAATTACAGGATAAATTGGGAAACACGCCTCTTCATATAATGGCTATGGGAAAGAAAGAAGACGTGGAAGCCGTAGACATTATTCTTTCGGCCAGACCTAATATTAACGTAAAAAACAATTTAGGAGAAATTCCCGTAGCCACGGCCATAGACCACGGAAATTTCGGCACGGCTCTGACTATGCTAAAATGCGAAGTGGACGTCGATGTCAGGGATCGAAGCCAATACACTTTGTTGCATTATGCAGCCAAGAAAAATGCCGGCCAAGTGATGAAGAAATTGTTAGAAAAAGGATGCGATCCCAATGCTCGAGATAGAGACGGCGATACCTCGTTGCATATTGCTGCCGGAAGAGGTTTGGTACAGGTAACGTCCATCTTACTGAAACATCCGAAAACAGACAAAAATATGCAGAATTTCGGGGGTTATACTCCTTTGATGTGTGCCGTCGATAGCGGTTTCCTCAAAACAGTACAACTGTTAACGGCAGCCAAGTGTGACGTACGTGTTAAATGTCCAGAAACCAACAAAACGGCCTTGGATATGGCCGAAGAACTATTTATAAAAAGAAACAGAAAAGAAATCTTCGATTTTCTGATGTGTGAAAAAGATTAAAATTCCGAATTTATTTTTAAAAAATTAAAAATGCTCTATTAAACAACTTTCTTGCCTATTTAGTGTTATATTTTGAAGCAGATTTCTTGTTTATTCACCATGCAAGTGACGTAAAAATATAGTAGACCCCCTATAACACTGTAGATAATTTCGTGTTATATGAATTCCATGTTGTACGAGTCACTTAAATTTTACAAATACGTGTACCGGGCTGTGAACGGCTCACATATTTGTGAAATTTAAGTGACTCATACAGTGTTATAGGGGGGTCTACTATATACAATTCTTGTTGTTATGGTCAGTGTGTGCCTAACATTTTCACATTCCCTCTGCTAGAACTCCACCAATTGAAATTAATATATTATAGCAAACAAATAAGTAAATAATAGTTTTTTTTATTTTTATTTTTTACTATTTATTTGATTTCATGAGAGATCGCTGAACAATTTTCAAAATTGTTCGAGATCTTTTAGGTTGTTCTAAAGGCAGAAATGAATTTCGAACGTTCCAAAATAAATGTAAAATTAATTAAATTCTTCAACTTAGTTTATATGTAAGTATTTTTTCATTAGTTTTAAAAGAAATTTTAGTTACAGTAGACCCCCTATAACACTGTAGATAATTCCGTGTTATATGAATTCCATAATATAGGGGGTTTACTGTATTTTACGTTTCTAATTCGAATTATCTATTTTAGAAACATCCAGTCTTCGACATTACTCTAAAATCAGGACCTGAAAATTATATATTTTTAACAGAAAACAAAATTGTATTCGACTTTTAACTATGAAAATGTATTATAACTATAAATGGATGATTTTTTCATTCTTAATGGCGATTCTTTATGAAATTACTAGTGAAAATAAATCAATTTTAGGCTTGTATAGTCGTAACAAATTCAATTTTAGCTCTTCCTATGGAGAAAATAATCGGAACTATTCAATTTTACATGAAAATACGATAAGTTTAAGACCTGCTTCGTCCTATATTTCAAGGTTTCGGCGTGATATTCGTTATAAAGTAAATAGAAATGAAGAGAAAGGACAAACTGCTATCAAAAATGGCGAAATGGCTTCGAAATTGAAAGATAGAGACTCCGAGGAATCAAAAAAGAATGGTAGAGAAAACAACAACGATAAATCACAGATTTCTTCTAGTAATAAAAATAAGCTTGACAGCATTTACAAGTATTTAAAATCTTTATTAAACGTTAAAGAAGTAAACGATAAAGAAAATTTGAAATTCGGTCCACGTTCCATTCCAAAAGTAGATGAAGAAAATAAACCAAATGCCAAAGAAATACGGAAGAAAAATGTTTTAATTATGCAAAATTATAAGCAACAATCACCTTCAGCCATGGAAAGAAAAGTGAAAGATCCCATGGATAAAGCATCTTTACCACAAAACTTCGAGAATACAGTTAAAATTTCTGATAAATCTTCAAAAATCTTATCAAAATTTGTTAAATATCGCGATGACAGACTTTTAAATAAATATCTAATGAAAGAAAGGAGATATCTTCAAAATAAAACCAGTCAAAACCATGCAAAAACAATAACAAAAAGATATCATACAATGTTACGAAAAGAAAACTACAAAAGCCTCGAGAACCATATAAGAATTGCATCAAAAAATTCCAATCAGCAAAGAGAAAATGAAGTTGGGAATAATAATTTAATAGAACAAGTCAAAACTACAACACCCGTTAAGTTTATATTACTGTTTATGGTTCTTTGTGTAAGTATTGTTATCATAACCGTACTTTTTAACTGCCCATTAATTTACAAAGCATTAAGTGGAGGTAATTATGATCATAACAATAACGCGAAACAGCCATTAATATCAATAAATGAAGAAAAACCACCACGAAAGCGACTCTTTCCTTCTAAAACTAGACATAGAAATGTCAAAGATTTTCATTGGAATGTGAAAAAATCCACGAAATCAAAAAGTGACTCTTCAGAGAACGAATCAAATACAAGTGAAAGATCTCAGATCTTAGAAACAAAGTTATTGAATGGCGTAAAGAAAATACCCAATAGCAATGAGGAAAATATTAAAATAGACAAACAAAATATAAAAGTTTCTAGTAGTGATCATTGGGAGAACATAGAGATGACCATGGACCAAAAAGATAATGTTGTTGAATTGTGCGCTTTGCTCTCTCCAAAAACTAGTAAAAACAATGAAAATATTGTTAAAATAGAAGAAGGGGACATATTAGACGAGAAAAATATTGAAGTTATTCATAAATATGGCCAATACTTAAGTGAATTACGTAATGTTTTGGACGTAGCCAACAAGCAATTAGGAAAAGAATTCGTAGATTCAACTGATGAAAACAATTACGAAACGAAAATACAGAGTAAAACGAACTTTTCTAATAATTGCAACGTGTGGAAATGCGAACCTCATCTCTTAAAGTCCAATTTCTTGGATAATGCACAAAGTAAGGATGAGACGACCACCACAGATGAGGAACAAGTAACCACGAGTAATCCAAAAAGACAGATAACAAAGTTGAGTCAAATTAGAAAAATTTTACAGAATTCTGTTAATTCAGACAACAATACTAACACTAGTAAACAATTTCTGAATCCACAGTCGATGATCGATGTCTTAGAAGAATTTCAAACTGATTATTCTTTCTCCGATCCTCTCATAATCCATGATGAATACAAAGATGGAGTGTTTAATGATACAAATAATAATTCTGAAACAGAAACCAGTTCATCATCCATATTTATAAGGAAAGAAAAACAGAAACGAAAGAAGAGTTATCGTGGGGAATTTCGTCATAAATGTAAAGAAGCATACTTTTGAGGAAAATAAGACGATAAAAATTGTTNTCTTTTTATAAAAATTATATTTATTTTTATCGGTTCGTTAAATTTCCTGCCAATAGATGGCACTACGGATGAGGATATAAATCAATTGATTTACAGAAACCCAATAGTTATTTTGGAATACGATGTTCGATATTATCTAAGTTAGGTGTGTGTGGACGTAACTGCCGAGATGAATGATATTTTAAAGAGGAAAAAAAAACTGGCGACTGCAGGCGCGAACCCAAGACTGCATTGCTGCAACGCAAGCCTGATGGAGGAGCGTTTGAGAGAAAAAACAAAGAAAATGGCGAATGGTGGTTCGAACTCAATCTGCACGCTGCAACGCAAGCCTAATGGCGGAGCGTTTGAGTGGAAAAAAAAAAGCCTACCAGTGGTGTGAGCCCAGAGTGCACGCTGCAACGCAAGCATAAGGGCGTAGGGGAGCTGACACGACCAATCGGCATCGGCTCAGCGGCGAATTTTTCCTTATATTTATATTTAAAATTCACAATTTTGTTAGGAAATTTAACAAGTCGTTATTAAAAGTGAATATCTACTGTATATAACCGGTTTCTGTCACGGTATGCCAAAACGGCCACTAGGGGCGCCCCTAGCTATCATTTACTAGAGCCCTCTATAAACAGAGTATGGTCAAAATATGATTGGATACTGCCTATCACGTGGTTTATCCACGTGATCGGCATTATGAGGACAGCGAATGTCAATCAGCTATTTATTACGATAAATAACAGAATTGGAAACTTTATATACCAGGTAATTTCGATCTAAAATCGATTCTAAACATCGAGTTAGTTCTTACTTTACTATACTGAGGTTAGAAATCATTATTTTAGCCTTTAAATATGCCGATACATCTATATCGCTCTTAAAGCTACCATATAAAAATAGATCATGCCGGGTTGTTCAGTAATTAATTGCTCAAATACAGCTCCTAAATTCAAACTGCATCGATTTCCTAGTGATGAAGCTAGAAAAAAAAAACATGGGCGATTAAAGTAAATAGGCTGGATGAAAATGAGAAATTATGGATTGCTGGAAAACATGCATTACTTTGTGAGGTAAGAATCAGAATTTTTATGAGAAAGGACTTCTGCTTTGACTACCTATTTAATTGTATATTGCACATTAATAAACTAAGGCTAAAGTGTATTAAGTCTGTTACATTTTAGCCTTTATAAGTTTATTGATTTAGTGAAATGTGAATATTTACAATTAACTCTCATAGGCTCATTTTGAGAAAGATCAGTATGAAGGATGAAAGAAGATTGCCGTTTCTCTCAGATCTACTCCTAAGAGAAGATGCTCTGGACCAAAAACAGGGCATAGAAATAATTGTGAGCGTATAGATCCGACAGTTATGCTACAAATTTATCTCCTATGACGTCTATGCAGCCCAGTACAGGTATATTTATAATATAAATTTAAAATATTCTATTTTTTCTTATTGCATACTTTGTTTGTTTTTGAAGAAAATGGTGATGACTGTAAAAGCACGAATGGAGATGAAGATAACGAGACATCTGGTCCAGTATTTCGGGACTCCGGTAATCTTGTTAGCCAGCCACTGTCACCAAAATCAAAACAGATTAATGAACTGAAATCTCAATCGCATAATGCGTTACATAGAGTTAAAAGAGTGCAGAAAAGTAAGGAGGATCTCTACGAAGAGATAAGAAAATGAAAGTCTAGAGTCAACACGCAGAGTACAAACATAAAATTAATTTTCAATCTTGATCAAATGTGTCAACACGGGGAATAAAATGGCAAAATAATACGATAAGAAAGGCTCTGCAGTTAAAATCTGCTTGTGGAAGATCAGGCTATGAATAAACAATATTTAGTGATTATGGGTGACTTTTGTTGCACACTTGGTTTACTTGCAGGAAACACGAGTGTCGTTTAATTTATATTACTAAACAAAGACTTGTTTCAAATTTTATCTAATATTATTTTTGTAGAAATACTAAATATTAATGCATTTTCCATCTTCATAACCGTATATGACTAAATCAATTAATTTTAACGTGAAAAGATAGCTCAATTACATCTTAATAAATATTCTATCTTGGTCGAAAACAGTTATATTAATTTTCAAATACTCAATACACCTGGTGTAATTCTGAGTCACCTATTACAGAACCGTCAAGGTTTAGCAAGTTTGTGTGATTCACTTGATATTAAACGCGGTTCTCTCCTTGAATTTACAATGAATGTCAATAAAAAAGACTTATATAAACTATATAACTATTTCATCAAGATTACAGAAATGTTAATAAACTAAAGTCAACAGTTTCATTGTTTATTATTATTACGTAAATGTTAACATTTTCTGTATTGTCATCTTTGACCTTACTGATTGTGATTGTTTGGAATCAATTGTCAAATAAGAGTATAAGTCTAATAATAATTTGGAAACTGTTGCAAGTTTTTTGTAACCCTTTCATTAACAAATGTACCACCCCCTGTAACAGGGAAATTACCCTTTTTGTTAATAAATGATTGATATTTAGTGATTATCTGCATTCCTTGCAAGGAATGCAGATAATCACTATTTGTTACTATGTTACACTATGTTACTTGAGTTTTTCTTGTTTAAAAATAAACTTTATTGATTTTTTGTCTTTATTATATTTTTAAATTTAAATGCAATTTTTTATATTATTTATATTGCAATAGCGCTGTGAATAAATGTGATCCGCTAAATATAATTTTTTAATATTTTCACTTTTTTGCTTCTAGCCCTGTTATTGTTATATATTTTGTCCATCACTTATAAACTACAATTATTCCGAACATAATTAAAAATTATTTCTAAAAATGTTTAACTTAATATAATTTCTTTCTGAATCTGATTTCTGCTCATTTAAATNAAACAACAACGATAAATCACAGATTTCTTCTAGTAATAAAAATAAGCTTGACAGCATTTACAAGTATTTAAAATCTTTATTAAACGTTAAAGAAGTAAACGATAAAGAAAATTTGAAATTCGGTCCACGTTCCATTCCAAAAGTAGATGAAGAAAATAAACCAAATGCCAAAGAAATACGGAAGAAAAATGTTTTAATTATGCAAAATTATAAGCAACAATCACCTTCAGCCATGGAAAGAAAAGTGAAAGATCCCATGGATAAAGCATCTTTACCACAAAACTTCGAGAATACAGTTAAAATTTCTGATAAATCTTCAAAAATCTTATCAAAATTTGTTAAATATCGCGATGACAGACTTTTAAATAAATATCTAATGAAAGAAAGGAGATATCTTCAAAATAAAACCAGTCAAAACCATGCAAAAACAATAACAAAAAGATATCATACAATGTTACGAAAAGAAAACTACAAAAGCCTCGAGAACCATATAAGAATTGCATCAAAAAATTCCAATCAGCAAAGAGAAAATGAAGTTGGGAATAATAATTTAATAGAACAAGTCAAAACTACAACACCCGTTAAGTTTATATTACTGTTTATGGTTCTTTGTGTAAGTATTGTTATCATAACCGTACTTTTTAACTGCCCATTAATTTACAAAGCATTAAGTGGAGGTAATTATGATCATAACAATAACGCGAAACAGCCATTAATATCAATAAATGAAGAAAAACCACCACGAAAGCGACTCTTTCCTTCTAAAACTAGACATAGAAATGTCAAAGATTTTCATTGGAATGTGAAAAAATCCACGAAATCAAAAAGTGACTCTTCAGAGAACGAATCAAATACAAGTGAAAGATCTCAGATCTTAGAAACAAAGTTATTGAATGGCGTAAAGAAAATACCCAATAGCAATGAGGAAAATATTAAAATAGACAAACAAAATATAAAAGTTTCTAGTAGTGATCATTGGGAGAACATAGAGATGACCATGGACCAAAAAGATAATGTTGTTGAATTGTGCGCTTTGCTCTCTCCAAAAACTAGTAAAAACAATGAAAATATTGTTAAAATAGAAGAAGGGGACATATTAGACGAGAAAAATATTGAAGTTATTCATAAATATGGCCAATACTTAAGTGAATTACGTAATGTTTTGGACGTAGCCAACAAGCAATTAGGAAAAGAATTCGTAGATTCAACTGATGAAAACAATTACGAAACGAAAATACAGAGTAAAACGAACTTTTCTAATAATTGCAACGTGTGGAAATGCGAACCTCATCTCTTAAAGTCCAATTTCTTGGATAATGCACAAAGTAAGGATGAGACGACCACCACAGATGAGGAACAAGTAACCACGAGTAATCCAAAAAGACAGATAACAAAGTTGAGTCAAATTAGAAAAATTTTACAGAATTCTGTTAATTCAGATAACACTACTAACACTAGTAAACAATTTCTGAATCCACATTCGATGATCGATGTCTTAGAAGAATTTCAAACTGATTATTCTTTTTCTGATCCTCTCATAATCCATGATGAATACAAAGATGGAGTGTTTAATGATACAAATGATAATTCTGAAACAGAAACCAGTTCGTCATCCATATTTATAAGGAAAGAAAAACAGAAACGAAAGAAGAGTTATCGTGGGGAATTTCGTCATAAATGTAAAGAAGCATACTTTTGAGGAAAATAAGACGATAAAAATTGTTAATTGGTGCTTAATTTTTTTAAAATTAAAAGTAATTTTTAAATTTACAATCAAATTTATTGTTTATTTAATTAGATTTTTATAAAACTCACCCCTATCCTCAAAATTTAGGTTTTTATCTAGCGTGTTGCCCACCCCTGGTTTAGAAGAAGTTTTACATTATGTTTAATTTTAATATCACGTAACTATTCACTTGATATGTATATTTTACCAATAAAAATATCTGTTAATTACACATTAACTATTTTTTAGCACTGATTTTAGATAGAGGACAATATTTTAAAGGCCTGTCATTATTGTCTGTAAATTTGGAGCATCATGAGGAAGATACCAGTCAGCATCTAATTAATGAAAGACAGTGGAATTTATAGGTCTAAAATGTTTTCAAATGCAGCCTAACAATTAATACATAACCAATGCAAATTATTGTTAAAAATTCAATTATTAAGAAGAATTATTTGTCCTAGAAATTTGGCACTCGATTTTCTTGAAGAAATTTGAAATCCATGAATGAGAAAACTTTGCATGGACCACCTTTAAATTTTTCATTTAGATCATTGAATACAATTAAAGGTAATTTTAATTGTATTAATCAAATACAGACTTGTTAATTGTATTTATTGTATCAAATTAACTTACAGAAGTCCTAGAACATCGTCCAAGAATATGGACTAGACAACTGAAGAAAGATGAAAACGGAAAATATTTGACTCGAGGAATTCAATTAAATAATAATTTATTAACTTCATTGGAAGGGTTTACTGAAGTAGCTGAAAAGTTTCTTGCCTTCCCTGAAGATATTTCGTGGATCGATATCAGTTTCAATCATTTAACTTCTATAGAATCGGTAATTTTTCAAGTACCTTTCGGTTTTTCAAACATTTTCAGGAATGGCTTCTTTCTTCATCATCCGGCTACCACGACGGACATGAAAGATAATCTTTATGCAGGACAGAAAGAGTTTAATTAAACACGCGTAAAGCATTAACTGAAATTCTTCTTCCTCGCGTATCTTTTCTTCCATCCCCAGTAGGATTAGAATGATTGGAGAAGAGCGCAAAATATAAGCAATCTGCCAAAATAGAGGCAAGTTGCTTCTATTTAGGTGTTAGATATGTGAAGAAAATCCGGAAAACTCAACGTTAATGAGGCGAGAACCCTCGATCAATTAGCGGTATTCGGTGATTTTCATTCATTTAACCACCTCCCTCAATTGGTCAATGGCGATACCACTTGGGATCCAAGTTCGAACTGGATTAACACCATTATATCATGGGCATTACCATTCTTCAACCGCATTGCGAGACAGCATTGCTGCTCCCCAGAAATCCGCAATGCTGGTACATTGGATTTCTATAAGCTGAGTTCATAAAACTCAGAGCTCAACAGCCATTTTAAATAATTAAAAATGGCTGTTGAGCGGTTTCTAAATTTAAACCGAAGGATTTGTTGCAATGGATTAATTGCAAGCGTCATAAAGAGCGATTCACACTGAGCAATTTTGTAATTAAATTATTGTTTTACTGAATTATTTTACTTAATTAAAGTATTATACAAATTTTATTTCTTTTTAGATCTTATTGAATTTTCCAAATTTAAGAATATTATATTTACACGGAAACAATATAAATCGACTATCGCAATTATCATTGTTAACCGAACTAACTCATCTGAAGAAACTGACCCTGTTCAACAATCCTGTAGAAACATTGCCATTCTATAGAATGAAAGTCCTGGGTTATTTACCAAATTTAAAGAGTTTAGATTTCAGTGGAGTTACACTCAAAGAGAGTGAAAGAGCTTCGAGAGAATTCTCATCTCACTTAAATCCCTGATGTATTTAAATTCGTGATTTCTTCTCCTTAAATCTAATTTTAATAATAAAAATTTCATGTTATTCATAATTTTAGAAAATATCTGACTAAAATAAATTCGATTTTTGGAGTGGTAGATTAAGGCAATGCAACACATGTCAGGAGGGTGCCTCCTGGGAAGACTTTTATGGGAAACTGGCCCCTATTCTGGTGTTAAACACGTAAAGAAAACATAAAAATATTCACTCAACCAGCCCTTTAGTGAGGTGAGAACCCCCGAAAACAAAACAAAAAAATTATATTTTGGGCCATCGTTGTGTCCGAGCCAAAACCAGCCTACTTACCCCTCACTGACGGAATGTATCAATAGATAAAACCATTAGTAAGGAAGCTATTTATATGCTTCCTTGAAAGATTGTGGCACATATAAATAACAAGTTAAATTCGTCAGTCAGTTTTCTATTCTTATCAATATACAAATGTCCAGGTAACTATTATCTAAGTATAAGTTATTTTTAGATAATGAACTAAGTTCTATTTACGGTTATAATACTCAGAGATTATGCATCTTATGGAATAAGATTAAAGAATTTTAATTAAAGTTCTTTCTATGGAAACCATCTTAATTAATAATAATGACGTACTCTGACAGAAAATTGATCTATGATAATGAATTGCCATTGAAAAGATGATAAATATGCTTGATTTATCAGGCATATTTAGTATAAAGTAGAGCAAGAAATCTTCCTCAACCATTGACGTTCTCTTTGTTTAGATATAGAAAGATTATAGAAGTCTCTCTTCAAATAACTTATAACCTACTTTAAACTTGTCTTACAATATCATACAATAATTACAATAATACCATAAAATCTCTTGTTAATGGTCACCTTTGAATATCACTTTCATTGCTCAGACACACCTGGAGCAATTATTGTAGAAATTCTACCAAAAAAAATATAGAAATACAGTAGTAAAGAGTATGTCTATAACATCTTTTTAACAATAGAGAGACCTGATTTTGCAGGAAAAGTGTCTTCCAGGATCAATGGTTACCTTAACTAATGGTGTTGGGTATAAAATTACTACGAAATTCCTTCTTCAAATCAGCATTCATTTACATAAACCATTTATATGATTGATGTTGTATTATACAAAACAGAGGATTCGAGAGATTGTATCGGTAGCTAGTAATCACCTGCTTGTTGTTACAGTATACACTAAAACAGGCCATACGTCAAAGTTGCCGATGATGGAGTACTTCTTCGGTCCCCCCTCTGAACGGTAACCTTCGACCGTTAACGTCAACCACACCCCTAATCGGAGTTGAAAGACAGAGTAGGAAAACTGTTTTGTGTGCTGGAGACTCGTTGTGACCATTTGGCTCTAGCAATTTTCGAGTATCTTTAAGAGGTTTGTTTCAATTGAATTTACTTTAATTTAGCATACTTTTGAGGAAAATAAGACGATAAAAATTGTTAATTGGTGCTTAATTTTTTTAAAATTAAAAGTAATTTTTAAATTTACAATCAAATTTATTGTTTATTTAATTAGATTTTTATAAAACTCACCCCTATCCTCAAAATTTAGGTTTTTATCTAGCGTGTTGCCCACCCCTGGTTTAGAAGAAGTTTTACATTATGTTTAATTTTAATATCACGTAACTATTCACTTGATATGTATATTTTACCAATAAAAATATCTGTTAATTACACATTAACTATTTTTTAGCACTGATTTTAGATAGAGGACAATATTTTAAAGGCCTGTCATTATTGTCTGTAAATTTGGAGCATCATGAGGAAGATACCAGTCAGCATCTAATTAATGAAAGACAGTGGAATTTATAGGTCTAAAATGTTTTCAAATGCAGCCTAACAATTAATACATAACCAATGCAAATTATTGTTAAAAATTCAATTATTAAGAAGAATTATTTGTCCTAGAAATTTGGCACTCGATTTTCTTGAAGAAATTTGAAATCCATGAATGAGAAAACTTTGCATGGACCACCTTTAAATTTTTCATTTAGATCATTGAATACAATTAAAGGTAATTTTAATTGTATTAATCAAATACAGACTTGTTAATTGTATTTATTGTATCAAATTAACTTACAGAAGTCCTAGAACATCGTCCAAGAATATGGACTAGACAACTGAAGAAAGATGAAAATGGAAAATATTTGACTCGAGGAATTCAATTAAATAATAATTTATTAACTTCATTGGAAGGGTTTACTGAAGTAGCTGAAAAGTTTCTTGCCTTCCCTGAAGATATTTCGTGGATCGATATCAGTTTCAATCATTTAACTTCTATAGAATCGGTAATTTTTCAAGTACCTTTCGGTTTTTCAAACATTTTCAGGAATGGCTTCTTTCTTCATCATCCGGCTACCACGACGGACATGAAAGATAATCTTTATGCAGGACAGAAAGAGTTTAATTAAACACGCGTAAAGCATTAACTGAAATTCTTCTTCCTCGCGTATCTTTTCTTCCATCCCCAGTAGGATTAGAATGATTGGAGAAGAGCGCAAAATATAAGCAATCTGCCAAAATAGAGGCAAGTTGCTTCTATTTAGGTGTTAGATATGTGAAGAAAATCCGGAAAACTCAACGTTAATGAGGCGAGAACCCTCGATCAATTAGCGGTATTCGGTGATTTTCATTCATTTAACCACCTCCCTCAATTGGTCAATGGCGATACCACTTGGGATCCAAGTTCGAACTGGATTAACACCATTATATCATGGGCATTACCATTCTTCAACCGCATTGCGAGACAGCATTGCTGCTCCCCAGAAATCCGCAATGCTGGTACATTGGATTTCTATAAGCTGAGTTCATAAAACTCAGAGCTCAACAGCCATTTTAAATAATTAAAAATGGCTGTTGAGCGGTTTCTAAATTTAAACCGAAGGATTTGTTGCAATGGATTAATTGCAAGCGTCATAAAGAGCGATTCACACTGAGCAATTTTGTAATTAAATTATTGTTTTACTGAATTATTTTACTTAATTAAAGTATTATACAAATTTTATTTCTTTTTAGATCTTATTGAATTTTCCAAATTTAAGAATATTATATTTACACGGAAACAATATAAATCGACTATCGCAATTATCATTGTTAACCGAACTAACTCATCTGAAGAAACTGACCCTGTTCAACAATCCTGTAGAAACATTGCCATTCTATAGAATGAAAGTCCTGGGTTATTTACCAAATTTAAAGAGTTTAGATTTCAGTGGAGTTACACTCAAAGAGAGTGAAAGAGCTTCGAGAGAATTCTCATCTCACTTAAATCCCTGATGTATTTAAATTCGTGATTTCTTCTCCTTAAATCTAATTTTAATAATAAAAATTTCATGTTATTCATAATTTTAGAAAATATCTGACTAAAATAAATTCGATTTTTGGAGTGGTAGATTAAGGCAATGCAACACATGTCAGGAGGGTGCCTCCTGGGAAGACTTTTATGGGAAACTGGCCCCTATTCTGGTGTTAAACACGTAAAGAAAACATAAAAATATTCACTCAACCAGCCCTTTAGTGAGGTGAGAACCCCCGAAAACAAAACAAAAAAATTATATTTTGGGCCATCGTTGTGTCCGAGCCAAAACCAGCCTACTTACCTCTCACTGACGGAATGTATCAATAGATAAAACCATTAGTAAGGAAGCTATTTATATGCTTCCTTGAAAGATTGTGGCACATATAAATAACAAGTTAAATTCGTCAGTCAGTTTTCTATTCTTATCAATATACAAATGTCCAGGTAACTATTATCTAAGTATAAGTTATTTTTAGATAATGAACTAAGTTATATTTACGGTTATAATACTCAGAGATTATGCATCTTATGGAATAAGATTAAAGAATTTTAATTAAAGTTCTTTCTATGGAAACCATCTTAATTAATAATAATGACGTACTCTGACAGAAAATTGATCTATGATAATGAATTGCCATTGAAAGGATGATAAATATGCTTGATTTATCAGGCATATTTAGTATAAAGTAGAGCAAGAAATCTTCCTCAACCATTGACATTCTCTTTGTTTAGATATAGAAAGATTATAGAAGTCTCTCTTCAAATAACTTATAACCTACTTTAAACTTGTCTTACAATATCATACAATAATTACAATAATACCATAAAATCTCTTGTTAATGGTCACCTTTGAATATCACTTTCATTGCTCAGACACACCTGGAGCAATTATTGTAGAAATTCTACCAAAAAAAATATAGAAATACAGTAGTAAAGAGTATGTCTATAACATCTTTTTAACAATAGAGAGACCTGATTTTGCAGGAAAAGTGTCTTCCAGGATCAATGGTTACCTTAACTAATGGTGTTGGGTATAAAATTACTACGAAATTCCTTCTTCAAATCAGCATTCATTTACATAAACCATTTATATGATTGATGTTGTATTATACAAAACAGAGGATTCGAGAGATTGTATCGGTAGCTAGTAATCACCTGCTTGTTGTTACAGTATACACTAAAACAGGCCATACGTCAAAGCTGCCGATGATGGAGTACTTCTACGGTTCCCCTCTGAACGGTAACCTTCGACCGTTAAGGTCAACCACACCCCTAATCGGAGTTGAAAGACAGAGTAGGAAAACTGTTTTGTGTGCTGGAGACTCGTTGTGACCATTTGACTCTAACAAATTTCGAGTATCTTTAAGAGGTTTGTTTCAATTGAATTTACTTTAATTTATATATTTTGAATTTTCCGAATTAAATTTAANAAACAATTTCTGAATCCACATTCGATGATCGATGTCTTAGAAGAATTTCAAACTGATTATTCTTTTTCTGATCCTCTCATAATCCATGATGAATACAAAGATGGAGTGTTTAATGATACAAATGATAATTCTGAAACAGAAACCAGTTCGTCATCCATATTTATAAGGAAAGAAAAACAGAAACGAAAGAAGAGTTATCGTGGGGAATTTCGTCATAAATGTAAAGAAGCATACTTTTGAGGAAAATAAGACGATAAAAATTGTTAATTGGTGCTTAATTTTTTTAAAATTAAAAGTAATTTTTAAATTTACAATCAAATTTATTGTTTATTTAATTAGATTTTTATAAAACTCACCCCTATCCTCAAAATTTAGGTTTTTATCTAGCGTGTTGCCCACCCCTGGTTTAGAAGAAGTTTTACATTATGTTTAATTTTAATATCACGTAACTATTCACTTGATATGTATATTTTACCAATAAAAATATCTGTTAATTACACATTAACTATTTTTTAGCACTGATTTTAGATAGAGGACAATATTTTAAAGGCCTGTCATTATTGTCTGTAAATTTGGAGCATCATGAGGAAGATACCAGTCAGCATCTAATTAATGAAAGACAGTGGAATTTATAGGTCTAAAATGTTTTCAAATGCAGCCTAACAATTAATACATAACCAATGCAAATTATTGTTAAAAATTCAATTATTAAGAAGAATTATTTGTCCTAGAAATTTGGCACTCGATTTTCTTGAAGAAATTTGAAATCCATGAATGAGAAAACTTTGCATGGACCACCTTTAAATTTTTCATTTAGATCATTGAATACAATTAAAGGTAATTTTAATTGTATTAATCAAATACAGACTTGTTAATTGTATTTATTGTATCAAATTAACTTACAGAAGTCCTAGAACATCGTCCAAGAATATGGACTAGACAACTGAAGAAAGATGAAAACGGAAAATATTTGACTCGAGGAATTCAATTAAATAATAATTTATTAACTTCATTGGAAGGGTTTACTGAAGTAGCTGAAAAGTTTCTTGCCTTCCCTGAAGATATTTCGTGGATCGATATCAGTTTCAATCATTTAACTTCTATAGAATCGGTAATTTTTCAAGTACCTTTCGGTTTTTCAAACATTTTCAGGAATGGCTTCTTTCTTCATCATCCGGCTACCACGACGGACATGAAAGATAATCTTTATGCAGGACAGAAAGAGTTTAATTAAACACGCGTAAAGCATTAACTGAAATTCTTCTTCCTCGCGTATCTTTTCTTCCATCCCCAGTAGGATTAGAATGATTGGAGAAGAGCGCAAAATATAAGCAATCTGCCAAAATAGAGGCAAGTTGCTTCTATTTAGGTGTTAGATATGTGAAGAAAATCCGGAAAACTCAACGTTAATGAGGCGAGAACCCTCGATCAATTAGCGGTATTCGGTGATTTTCATTCATTTAACCACCTCCCTCAATTGGTCAATGGCGATACCACTTGGGATCCAAGTTCGAACTGGATTAACACCATTATATCATGGGCATTACCATTCTTCAACCGCATTGCGAGACAGCATTGCTGCTCCCCAGAAATCCGCAATGCTGGTACATTGGATTTCTATAAGCTGAGTTCATAAAACTCAGAGCTCAACAGCCATTTTAAATAATTAAAAATGGCTGTTGAGCGGTTTCTAAATTTAAACCGAAGGATTTGTTGCAATGGATTAATTGCAAGCGTCATAAAGAGCGATTCACACTGAGCAATTTTGTAATTAAATTATTGTTTTACTGAATTATTTTACTTAATTAAAGTATTATACAAATTTTATTTCTTTTTAGATCTTATTGAATTTTCCAAATTTAAGAATATTATATTTACACGGAAACAATATAAATCGACTATCGCAATTATCATTGTTAACCGAACTAACTCATCTGAAGAAACTGACCCTGTTCAACAATCCTGTAGAAACATTGCCATTCTATAGAATGAAAGTCCTGGGTTATTTACCAAATTTAAAGAGTTTAGATTTCAGTGGAGTTACACTCAAAGAGAGTGAAAGAGCTTCGAGAGAATTCTCATCTCACTTAAATCCCTGATGTATTTAAATTCGTGATTTCTTCTCCTTAAATCTAATTTTAATAATAAAAATTTCATGTTATTCATAATTTTAGAAAATATCTGACTAAAATAAATTCGATTTTTGGAGTGGTAGATTAAGGCAATGCAACACATGTCAGGAGGGTGCCTCCTGGGAAGACTTTTATGGGAAACTGGCCCCTATTCTGGTGTTAAACACGTAAAGAAAACATAAAAATATTCACTCAACCAGCCCTTTAGTGAGGTGAGAACCCCCGAAAACAAAACAAAAAAATTATATTTTGGGCCATCGTTGTGTCCGAGCCAAAACCAGCCTACTTACCTCTCACTGACGGAATGTATCAATAGATAAAACCATTAGTAAGGAAGCTATTTATATGCTTCCTTGAAAGATTGTGGCACATATAAATAACAAGTTAAATTCGTCAGTCAGTTTTCTATTCTTATCAATATACAAATGTCCAGGTAACTATTATCTAAGTATAAGTTATTTTTAGATAATGAACTAAGTTATATTTACGGTTATAATACTCAGAGATTATGCATCTTATGGAATAAGATTAAAGAATTTTAATTAAAGTTCTTTCTATGGAAACCATCTTAATTAATAATAATGACGTACTCTGACAGAAAATTGATCTATGATAATGAATTGCCATTGAAAGGATGATAAATATGCTTGATTTATCAGGCATATTTAGTATAAAGTAGAGCAAGAAATCTTCCTCAACCATTGACATTCTCTTTGTTTAGATATAGAAAGATTATAGAAGTCTCTCTTCAAATAACTTATAACCTACTTTAAACTTGTCTTACAATATCATACAATAATTACAATAATACCATAAAATCTCTTGTTAATGGTCACCTTTGAATATCACTTTCATTGCTCAGACACACCTGGAGCAATTATTGTAGAAATTCTACCAAAAAAAATATAGAAATACAGTAGTAAAGAGTATGTCTATAACATCTTTTTAACAATAGAGAGACCTGATTTTGCAGGAAAAGTGTCTTCCAGGATCAATGGTTACCTTAACTAATGGTGTTGGGTATAAAATTACTACGAAATTCCTTCTTCAAATCAGCATTCATTTACATAAACCATTTATATGATTGATGTTGTATTATACAAAACAGAGGATTCGAGAGATTGTATCGGTAGCTAGTAATCACCTGCTTGTTGTTACAGTATACACTAAAACAGGCCATACGTCAAAGTTGCCGATGATGGAGTACTTCTTCGGTCCCCCCTCTGAACGGTAACCTTCGACCGTTAACGTCAACCACACCCCTAATCGGAGTTGAAAGACAGAGTAGGAAAAGTGTTTTGTGTGCTGGAGACTCGTTGTGACCATTTGGCTCTAGCAATTTTCGAGTATCTTTAAGAGGTTTGTTTCAATTGAATTTACTTTAATTTATATATTTTGAATTTTCCGAATTAAATTTAAACAATTATAAAAACTATTTATTAAATTTTTCATAAAAACAATTGTAATTTAAATATAGAAGATATAACAAAATGGCGAACAAAGTAGTATGGTTGTTGTTGATTAACAATAGTAAATATGTCCGTTTCTTTGAACAGATATGAAATATTTAAGTTACATTTTAATGAGACGTAGTAGTTTTTAATTAAAATACACACTTTAAAATATAACCATAGATTTATGGGGCCTGAAAACATTTGACTTAGGGGCCTCACGTAAAGTATTGACTTCAGATATTTTTCTTTCGGGGAAATTTTTGGGAAAATATTTCCTTATAAAAGATTGATTTGTTGTCTCTTATTGGTGAAGGACCCAAGAAATTATTCTTCTTGCCCATAGGATAACGCAACGCCACTGAATATAACTAGAATTAAATGCATATACCAATCATTGTAAGAGAAAAATTTCAATGTTAAGATTCTTATTCTCTGTGAGATGGAGGATCCAGCAGTGTGCAATTTCTAATTGTAACGTAGGCTAACAATAGTATCTCATTTTACCATTGGGGACGATTGGCACACATCATGACTGTAATACTAGGCCTACTACAATGGGGGAAATTACAGATACCCTGCATGTATTTATTCTAATTGTTTTGAATTACTTAAAACATACATGAAACACTAGTAATAAGCCAGTTCATCTAGTTTGTTTCGAAATGTTTGAAGAAACAAAACAAAATGGCTGCTCCCAAAAATTCGGAAGAACCATGATCCTGAACTTCATCCTTCATATTTGGGACCAAATACGAAGTTTAAGAGCCACGCTTAGTAACGTTTAGCATTACAATTCGACCAAATATGAAGGGTAATATTTTGGATCCTCTTGCACAACTAAAAAGTTAATAGACGAGGTCCTCGAGGACTCTTTATCACACTCGGAGTAATAGAATCCAATTAAATAACTGTGATATATTCAGAAGATTCAGTAATTAATTAATGAACAATGTAATTTATGTAAATTCGATTTTAATAATTAGTTTGAATCAAAAAATGCATGAAGTCAAACCTCTAAACAATGCCATTGACGGACCATAAAAAAATGGCCGTTGTTTAGAGGTTGCGCCGTTTACGGTGGCCGTTATTAGAGGTTCAACTACAGTACATTAAATATTTATTAATTTTACAGTTGACCTGGCATTTACCATCGAATTAACTTTAGGAAAATCGACATTTAAAGTAGACGTCGTAAAGCGAACCATGCGATTCTATTAAATTCAGTATCATAACTTAAGATTATCTTCCTGGAAATAAGTTTCGATTCCGTACTATCGCGAAGAGAAGCCAAACAAAACTATTTCATTTCGACATTCTCAATACAAAATTTATATCGGTCGTAAAAACGGGGGAATGTTACACGTAATTGTCTCTCGTCGCGTCGCGTCGCATCCTATCGATGCGAAACGACGCGACGCTAAGTGTATACGTAAAATAACTCCATCTACCGGTGTGTTACTATCCCCCTTATCTACCGTATACATAAATTAAACATGTGCCTATTTAATTTTCCCTATAACATTAAACACTAATTTAAAATCATTAAAACAATATTCAAATTGTAATTAAAAATAAATTTAATGTTTGTAATTAAAAGAAGCTGTTTACGAAGAATTACAAAAGTTTTCATTTATAACGAAAAATAATCGGTTCTTCCTTCCTCTCAATCCTGCGGAAGATGCCCGACAGTTAAGCCGACATGGAAGAACGTCGAGGTAAGTTGGTAGTAAAATACATATTTCCTGTAGGAAATTTAAGTAATTTATACATCTTAATTAGCTTATAATCTTATTATTCTAATTACAAAGGCCTATTTGACTTAAAACCAAACCCGTAACGTTAAACTATTGCATCATCTTCTTTGTTTAATCTTCATCCACGTGGTTACTGAATGGGTTTAATCTGCAATGCATATTGATTCGTAGAATCTGGGTCGTCGGGACCGGAGCGTCTTATTCTTTTACTTAAAAAAAATAAAATATTTAAGTTAAGGGTGAATTTTATTAACAAAGAAACATTCTGTGTATTCCATTTAATCAAAAAATGGCATACGCAACGCTCGTTAAGCGGCAAAAGGGTACCACTCTACCCTGTCCCTCATACGTACGCTGCATGGGATGTATATAAAGAGATCAATTTACCATTATATTCAAGAAATTTAATTTTAATTTTCTTTCTAAATATCTTTAAAAATTCATTTAAATAATATTCTAAATATTAAACAACAGAAGAACCCTTTTATGGAGGGGTGCTGATTAAAATTACCTCATCTAAATCAAAAAAAATAGTGAAATTTTTTGTTTTCTCTCAAAAAATTAATGCGAAAACTATTACGAAATTAAAAGAGGTGACTTAGTAATACACTTTATTTTGTTTTTTTTCAATAATTCGTGACACATCGCCCATAATTCACTTTCCTCTGCGGGTCTCGCTGATGGAGATCAACAGCGAACATCAGAAGCGTGTTCACCAGTTAATATCTAATATCTATTTTTTTAAATAAGCGTGTCTTAATTATGAAAGCAATCTGTTAAGGATTATTTTAACTAATAAAGGTAATATTTTATATTTATATTTTAAATTTATTTATATTCGCCGAACACTTTGCGCGTATTGCAACGGATGAGGATTTCAAAGATTTTGCCATTCTTTAAAGATTTCTAATAAACTCTTGCGATAAATGATGAATTTATGCGAAAATATTATAAATATTTGTTCCAAAAAAACAATTTTTTCTAGAAAATTTGCTGTTATCGCCCTCCATTTTCAAACATTTGGGCACACATATCTTCATGCAGAAACATAGAAAATACCGCAGAAGATTAGAATATCTTCACGTTTGTGGAATAAAATAATTAAGTGCATAATATTTCTAGAAACAAAACAAGAAATATTCGAAATAAATCGATGATAAAGGCGCCACAAGAGCCTATTGATCGTCTGCTCTACAAAGGAGCTAATACGGCATAAATAAGAGCAAAGAATTTTAAATTTTCTTTAAAAAATATGAATTTTTTAATAATTAATTTTTTAAAAAAAACGTAGAAATTTTTTATTATACGAGAAAAAAAATTATATTTAAATACGGCCCAAATAAAAAAAATAATAATCATTTCCGATTTCTCTCGGGAGATGGCGCTTCCTTAACAGAAAATGAGACATTTTAAAATCGATATTCACGTTAATGCTATTCTTGGGGATATGAAATATTTAAGTTACATTTTAATGAGACGTAGTAGTTTTTAATTAAAATACACACTTTAAAATATAACCATAGATTTATGGAGCCTGAAAACATTTGACTTAGGGGCCTCACGTAAAGTATTGACTTCAGATATTTTTCTTTCGGGGAAATTTTTGGGAAAATATTTCCTTATAAAAGATTGATTTGTTGTCTCTTATTGGTGAAGGACCCAAGAAATTATTCTTCTTGCCCATAGNCAAATTTTAATTGTTACGTAGGATTAAACGTAATTAAATATTTAATTAATTACGTTTAACTCTACGTAAGATGAGATTCGAGCGCCGAAACTATTTTAATTTTTAGCTTATGAAAAAAATTTTTTTAAGTGCAATAAAAACGCATTGATTTTTTTTTTCATTTAAAAATGGGTTTTTATATAATTAAGCTTTTGATAAAATAATAAGTGTTGTTTTTATTGTTTTTAAAGTAATTTTAGTCATAAATGAACGTTATTCTGTTTATTTACGTGTTTATTGTGTGTGTTTACGCGTTTCTGCGTATGTCTCGTGCCTGTGTCTTTGTCTGTGTCTCTGTGTCTGTGTGTGTGTCTGTGCGCGCGCGCGCGTGCGGGTGTTTATACGATTATAGTCACGTGTTCGTAGTTAAAGTCTGTGTTTATGTGTACTATTGTGTTCACGACCGTATAAGTTTATTCAAAGGAACAGAGGGAACATATGCTTCTTAACTAAGTTTAAATAAATATATTTAAAAAAATATTGTGTTATATACTTAATTATTACTCTGTATATTCGTGTGATTTTTCTATAGTTAAGATTATATGTATTTATGTTCTTGAATGTCTACATTTAAGTATTTAGCCTATGCGTGTTAATTACCTATTTAGTAATTAATTATCTGTATAAATAGGGAATTAAGATGCGTATGTTTATGTATTTTCCATGTATTTGTGTGTATTTATGTAATTATATATAGGCTACTTTAAACACGTATCATTATTATGCTCAGTGCCAACACACACTGTTCCAACGTGAAAATATTCTTTATATAATTGAATTGTATTTTTATGCACATAATTTTTTTGTGTGTGTATTTCATTAATCATGTTAAAAGAATTTTTTCTGTAAGTTAATATGTAGGTCATTCGTCTTTAATGTATTATTAATGGATTACTTCTAACTGAACAGTATTTTTTTTTAATAACTAGTTTTAATATTGATATTTCCATTCATAATGTTTCCAGTATTGAGTTTTTAGTTACTATACGTTGTAGTTCTAGCGCATTGACTGTAAATCAATCTTCCAAATTGGTCAAGATTAGGGTCATAGTTATTGATTTCTTGGTGTTCCCATTAAAATGATCCAAAACCGTGTATAGGGTATCCTTAAAGAGTTACAGAATTAAAGGTCTTAAACGTAGATTTAAATTAAAGATAAGGATATAAAATTACGAAGATTTTATGTTAAGATGCGATTTTAGTATTGGCTCTCTAGTTATTGACCTCAATCTGCCTTCCAGACTATGGCTATGGTATTCATTTTATTGATGGCTTTAACAGCTTCTGTTTTTAAAGAAACTTAACTTTACGCTTTATTTAGTTAAACTTTTAATTATAATTTAAGTATAAACACTTAAAAGTAGGGTATGTAGCAAAAACCTTGTGAAACTCTATGTCGTGTGATGGTTACTAGACTCCAAGAGAATTGCGATTGTTCTGGTGGATCAGATAGGAGCTGTGCCGGATATACAGATCCCCACACCTCAATTTCCGGTCCACCCTGGCACAATGTGCCTTTTCAGAAACCACTGCTGGGCGGGCGGCCTCTCCGAATACAATCCACGAGAAGAAGAAAGCATTCACTCTACTCCGAGATTCATTTGTATTGTATATCATTTAAAAGTGAGAAAATATTAAATAAATTTAGGTATTTTTGTATGAATTTGCTCTAAAGATGTTCAACAGATGAATTATAGTTTAAAAAAAATCATATTTATTAGAAATTATTAGAAAAATTAAAGCTGACACTTCATCTTCAACGAGTAGCCATTCGTAAGTTTAATTGATACACAATTAAATTATTTAATTAAAAGTACTTGTAACATTTTAAGGAAAATATATAATCTGTAAAAGCTCTAAAATTATTTGATTGATTACTTTTTTAAAGCGAAATATTTAATTATGCCAAGAGCATAATTAATACGCTTAATTATGCCAAGAGCATAATTAAGCGTATAATAGTTGATGATTCTTCAGAACTTGCATGTTTTGTTAGGTTACGCTATGCTCTAGTTAAGCGCGTACTTGGAACGGCCTTTTTAATGTAAATTTATATATTTTAAAATCCGTATTACAGGATATTTAATATCATACACCACCTAGTTTCTAAATAGTAGAACTCTGAGTGCGTATCCTCGTAATCTTAAGATCCTAGGAAAAAGTCAATGGTTGATTTTAGATTGTAGGAGACTCTAAGCAATAGGCCCCTTTAAACGTATAAGTAACGTTAATATTGTACAAGTTACTAATGAATCGAGACCGCACGTGGATAAACGTATAGGTTATTTATGCCTGTTCGAGGCCCTACGCAAAATCTTAAGTAAGATGTTTATAAAATTCGCTATAAGTTTTATTTTATTAAATATTTAGAAGCATTAAAGTTTTTTGTTTTTGCGTAAAACTTAGGAAAATACATTATTAATTTTATATTTAAATATTTTTCAAACTGTTAAATATTGATATAATTAATTGTAAAATGAAAAATGTTAGAATAATAGAACTTCCATTTGATAATTTTAATTTATAAATTCGTTATGTTTACAACTTTTATTTTTTAAAATATTATTTTAATATTTATAAACAGTGTTGAGTTATCCTGTGGGCAAAAAAAAAGGGAAATGTTTCGGGGCCCCACCAACAGGGCCCCGGATCATTTCCCAAACCAATTTTTTATAAGAAATATTCCCCCACATACAAGAAAAATATCTGAAGTCAACACTGTACTGTGTATGGGGGCCCCCTAATTCAAATTCGCCTAGGCCCCATGATGCTATAATGCTCCATTGTTTATAAATACCTGTATACAGTATCATAGAAATATTTTAATTAAAAACCAATTAGAGAATGTTTCATAATACATAAAATGATATTTAATTATATAAATAAATCACAAATTTAAAAAAATAATTACATTTTTAATGAAAATAAAATAAAATTGTTAAATTCCAAAAAAAAAAAAACAGTTTTAAAAATGATTAAAATAAAATTCCTTTAATTTAAAAAATGTTATTTTGTATCATTGATGGTTGCAAACCCTATTATTTGATTTAATTTATGATTTATTAATTATTTTCTTCTTATACATTTTAAATCTTATATGCAGAATATTAATGGACCTTTTTTTGTTGTTGTTGTTGCGGTTGTTGTATGACACACTGAATGAAAAATATGTTGTACTTGGTCCCTTTCAAACCGGTGCAAAACTTCAAAAACTGGTTCCGAAATATCCAGTCCGTTGAGTTTAAAACCTTGTGCTGAAACTTTTAAAAAATATATCATATTTTATTATATATATTTTAAAATTTGAACTTTTGGTGTACAAAGTTTATTTTTTAAATTGTAATTAAGTAATTGTAATTAAAAAGTGGTATCTATAAAATCTAAATTAATTAAAATTTATTCTTTGTTGTTTTTTAATATTTAAAATTTCATATTTATTTTATTTGTTTTTTAATTATAATTAAAAAAA